AGTTTTCAACTATATACAAATTAGAGTCCTTCAAAAATGAATTAAGAGTTTCCTATTTTAATGGAACAATGAATTTGAATTTTAAACAACATTTTCTTTCCCTTTCCTAAAACCTCTTCCACATAATTATAATTTCTCTTTTCTACAATCTCTCTCACATAGTTATAATTTATCTNTCATATCGTGATACTAAATGATGTAACTCTTTAATTTTTGTAAATAACTAAATGACAAATTGGGTTGGTGATGTAATTTCGTATAGTTGTTTAGTGTAACTGTTTGGTTTATTATAACACATGAGTAATTGTTTAGTATATTATAGAATAATTGTAATTAATTTGTGTAATTGATTAGTGTAATTATATTGTTGTAATGTTGATATAAGGAGAGAGAGAAAAAGGGAGAGAATAAGGAAATAAGGGTAAAAGGGGGTGAGAGAGAGATGAAAAAAATAAATCAAATCTTTAAATATTTTTAAAAAAATTATCAATATAAGAGAGAAAGAACAATAAATAGAGTGAAAGAGTAATGAAGAAGAGAAAGTAATGGAATAATAAATACTCTTTTAGTCTTTTTTTAAAAAATACACTTAGAATTAAATAAATTTTTTTAATATAGTTTAGCTCAACTAAATTTAAATTACTGTACCGACTTCCAAATTATCGATTATTAAATTAGTTGTGTGAATTGGGGTCGTGTCATTTTAATTTAATATTATTTCTGGTCATATCATCTCGGGTAGTGTTCATGCTAATAACAAATTATTTAATCCTAAAACAACTTATGTGATATCATATAAATAAATTAAAAAAATATTAAAAAATATTCATTTTTTGGTTACAATATTAATTAATTGTACTATTCATCTCCATCTTTTGTCTTACTCATTTATTATTGATATTAATTAGTCATTATATTTTTGAATTTCATTTTGAGTAGTGTTACATGAACTTAAAAATTAGATTTAATAATTTCAACCATTAATATATAGTGGGTCTTAATAAATAGGTAGTGGGTCCCTAAAATCTATAATAAATTCAATAGTTGAAATTATCAAATCTAATTTTTAAATTTATTTATTAAGCCTTTGTAAGATTACCCTTTCATGTCTTGTTGATTTCATACCAGATTCGTTTCACTGTTAATGATAAGCTTAGCCAGATCTCTTTCCAAAGAACCCACCAGTAATTTCTCTTACTTTAATAAATACTCTCCATTCCTTTCTCTCTCTTGAGTTATTAAAGCAAGGATCCAGATCTCTTCCAATCTATTTTTTGTTCAATTCTTTTTTAGACCGATCATCTATCACCGTTAAATAGTGAGGGATCCATTTGTATATAATAAGTCTCACTTGAATGTATAATAGGTGATCTATCAAGAAAAAATTGAAGAGAAAATATCTTGAAGATGATCTCACTCCAACACAGATCCAAATCTCTTCGACTATATTTTATATTCAATTCTTTTCTAGATGGATTATCCATCACCATTAAGTAATGAAAGACCCGTTTACATACAATGGATCGCATTTGAATACATAATAAATGATCTATCAAGAAAGAAATTAAAGAAAAAATGTGTCTTGGATGGGATCTCACTCCAACATGGATCCAAATTCCCTCTAATATATTTTCTGCTCAATTCTTTTCTTAGCAGATCATTTACCATCAATGAGTGAATGACTCACTTGTATACAACATGTCTCACTTGAATGTGTAGTAAGTGGTCTACTCAAAAAGAAATTGAAGAAAAAATATCTTGGTGGGGGATTTTATCTTGTAAAACATGAAATAATAAAGAGCAATGTTATATGAATCTTATTTAATGATTTTATTTGGTGACTATATCATTCTCTATCGTTAGATTGACAGTAGACTCCGTTATTAATTACGATTTATTATTAGTTCAATGGTTATGATCTCTCATGTCACCAAATAAAGTCACTAAGTGAAGTACAAATACGTGGCATTTTTCAATAATAAATCATCATTTGACCAAAAAATTAATAATAATAATAAATCACTAACCATATAAAATTTACTAGTCCAAGTGTGGATCTAAGGGTGGAAAAGAGCCTCGAAATCCATCACGGGCCTATCTACCGTTGATAGCCTAGGAATCCCGCGCAGTGTGGGTCCCACTACACTACTGGCATTATAGCATCACATTTATTAAAGGACGGTTACATAATCTCGAAAATATAGGGGGGAACGGGACAAAGTAAATCCTACTGGATTACGTTTTGTAATATATCCGTAATATTATCTTAATCCGTATTGTCATTAAATTTTTAGATTATGGCATTTTGTACAAGGACACAAATTTTGGTGTATTTACACTACTCCCCACTGATTTTTATAAATTTCATACCACCCCCACTATTTTCCAAGTTTTGTCCCACTTTTGTCTCTCATCATAGACCATCTCAATTTTGTGCCAAACAACAAAGATTTATACTCTTTTTTTCAATTATAATTGACTCTCGAGTGATTGATAATCAAGGGAGATCCGAAATAATTGTTAATAGTGAAAAAAAAAAGCAGTAAATAAATTTCTAGTTTCAATTTTTAGTTGTTTACTATGCATGCATATTCACAATTGCAATGATTAATACAAGGATCTCGTAACAAGAGTCGAAAATGAAATAGAGTGAAAATAAAAGATGCAAAAAAATATATATTTTCTTGCATGCAAATCCAACTAATATTTTGTTTTAGTAACTNCTTCTTAGCGGATCATTTACCATCAATGAGTGAATGACTCACTTGTATACAACATGTCTCACTTGAATATGTAGTAAGTGGTCTACTCAAAAAGAAATTGAAGAAAAAATATCTTGGTGGGGGATTTTATCCTGTAAAACATGAAATAATAAAGAGCAATGTTATATGGATCTTATTTAATGATTTTATTTGGTGACTATATCATTCTCTATCGTTAGATTGACAGTAGACTCTGTTATTAATTACGATTTATTATTAATTCAATGGTTATGATCTCTCATGTCACCAAATAAAGTCACTAAGTGAAGTACAAATACGTGGCATTTTTCAATAATAAATCATCATTTGACCAAAAAATTAATAATAATAATAAATCACTAACCATATAAAATTTACAAGTCCAAGTGTGGATCTATGGGTGGAAAAGAGCCTCGAAATCCATCACGGGCCTATCTACCGTTGATAGCCTAGGAATCCGGCGCAGTGTGGGTCCCACTACACTACTGGCCTTATAGCATCACATTTATTAAAGGACGGTTACATAATCTCGAAAATATAGGGGGGAACGGGACAAAGTAAATCCTACTGGATTACGTTTTGTAATATATCCGTAATATTATCTTAATCCGTATTGTCATTAAATTTTTAGATTATGGCATTTTGTACAAGGACACAAATTTTGGTGTATTTACACTACTCCCCACTGATTTTTATAAATTTCATACCACCCCCACTATTTTCCAAGTTTTGTCCCACTTTTGTCTCTCATCATAGACCATCTCAATTTTGTGCCAAACAACAAAGATTTATACTCTTTTTTTCAATTATAATTGACTCTCGAGTGATTAATAGTCAAGGGAGATCCGAAATAATTGTTAATAGTAAAAAAAAAAGCAGTAAATAAATTTCTAGTTTCAATTTTTAGTTGTTTACTATGCATGCATATTCACAATTGCAATGATTGATACGAGGATCTCGTAACAAGAGTCGAAAATGAAATAGAGTGAAAATAAAAGATACAAAAAAATATATATTTTCTTGCATGCAAATCCAACTAATATTTTGTTTTAGTAACTCCAATCAATGTTGGTATAACCAAATAAAAGTCCCGCATTAACAACATTAAACTTTTACCCGACACTAGATATTACTATATTTAAAAAAGGTGATACATTCACCTAAGAGGTAAAAATTGAGGCTTCCATCGCACACTCTCTCCCTCTCTCTTTCTGTGTGTGTGCGCGCACGCATGCACCCGCGCACACATGAGAGAGAAAAGATAGAAGAACTACAATATTCGATCATAATTGGTTGGCATTTGAGGAAGAAGCTCTCTTTCTTTTCTCGACAGCATGTAAACATTTTATTTTTGGTACTTTAGATACTAGCTAAATTTACATGCAACAAAGACCTAATCTAAACTAGAGGATGTTTTAAGATTGTAAACTTCGCAGGTTGCTTTTCTCATAGGGTTGCAAGACTATCTGCATATCGATTTCCTTCTCAAGAGTGTGAAAACCCCACTATACATTAGACATTTGAATTAAGCGTTGCAATTAACAATTAGTGCTCGATCTATGTCCTCATTTGTCAGGTGACTAGTTTTTGATTTGTCAGTGATTTCACCCCTAGAAAAAATGCTTATTTTTTATGATTCCTCCCACGCCTATTGGCCATGAGTTGTCTTTCGAACATTCATCAGTATTTAACTTAATTATCCGGTGCAGAGAGGAATAACCAACCTATTAATCAACCAATTTTTGGTATTGTATTCACGTGCATTTGCATTTTGGAATAATTAGACAAAAGTGTTAAACTTGTTTATCCAAACCATAAAAAATTTGTCGTAAAACAACTGCGAATATTTGTCCATCAACATAGATACTAATATTCCAAACGCCATCACACTAGATTTATTATTACATACAAGATACAACCGACAATTTGAGACATAAAATTCTCACTCTTTCCGGCTTAACTAAATAAAAAAAAGGCAAAAAACTTTTTGCGGCCACTGTCAAGTAGGAAATTCATCTTGTTTATTGAAAATGGTGTATCCTTCATAAATTTCGAAGTCCATGAGGGTAGATATGAAAAGAAACTTTTGTAGCATTTGGCAATAAGCTAATTAACATTACTACAGTTAAAACCATGGCAACCTAATGAACATTTTATGCTATATAATACTCTCTATTCTCCTCCAATAAAACCAGTTGTACTCTCTAGTCAAGAGTACTTCAAACCAAACCACTAGGCACTAAGCCATTTTTTCAGGCAATGGACAAAGGATCACCAAGCCATGGCCGACCAAAGTTGGAAATTCAATCCCAGAACTTATCCCCACTGACATCAAAAACCCTGGAATATATGCAGATGCAGCCTCGCCGGAAACCTCATAATCCGGGGACTAAATCTTGTTTCTTCGATACTTCTTGCCCTGGGTATGGGTGGTTGCTGCCAGGATGGGTGGCTGAGGAGAGGACTGTCCAGTCCGGCCGGCTTTATAGGGTAAAATAACACCTTCCCATCTTTTTACATGTCTTCATTTCTGTGTCGTACGGAAAATTCTAAGGTTTTTGTATAATTCTTCTGCATTGGATAATATTTGATACTTTTGTTGGTGAATGTGGGTTTTTTTCTGATGAAAAATGATGATCCGCCCGTCCCGGGACGCCGACTATCTGAAGTTCGTGAAGAACTTAGTTGAAACTACGGAATCTCTGTGGAGGTTTAAGCCATTCGAATGGCTACCATCCCGTTTGGGTCTTAGATCACGGGATTGAATCTGGTTGCCTTCTTTATTGTAATAATCTCTAATTAATTGCAAATTGTAGATTAATCAATAACAGGGACGAGACGTAAATATAAGATTATACGGTCGAAACAATTTTTTAGGGTCAGACATGAAAGAATTATCTTTCATGAATATTTTAGTCTCGACTCAAATATAAAGGCGACTCAAAATAATTTGAGATTTAAAGAGAAAACTAAGGTTTTTTTTATTATTTTTACTATTAATTTTTTAAAATTTAATTTATTTTCACTTTTTTATGTGAGAGAGAAAAAGGATGTGCCAGTATTTTTGAGAAAGATATTTTAACTTTTGATTTTATTTTTTACCAAAGCTCTAGAGAGGGAATGGATGGAGGTAAATATGAGTTGATTTTCGAATATTTTTTTTGTTTTTTTAACTTCTAATTTTTAGATTTCTAATGTTATGAATTGGATCACGGGTCCAAATTATTGCAATAAGAAAATTGAACAGATTTAATTTTTTAGGACTTTTTTTAGGGCTTGAAATTTAATGAATTTAAATTTTTTTGTAAGCTAGTAATGGATCTAAAATTACAGGACCTTCTAAAACCCAAGCTTTATTTTTCATACTATTGGACCGGCCTTTCGTGGATGGCTTACCTTTAACTAGACCGGAGAGTGAATTAATTGATTTATACATAAGTTGATCCAAACACCCCTCACCATTAAACAAAAAAAAAAAGAACTAATAATGTCAAACTAAAAAAAATGTAACACTGTGAAAGCTAATGAAGATCCAAACCCACAGAACATGAACATAAATTGTCCAGATTTCTGTTTTCCTTTAAAAAGTTTCGTAGCCAATTCACAAAACTCTCATTATAACGGGGATCGAAAAAGAGAGTTATTTGGTAAATAAACTGTCTCTCATTTTAAAAAATCTGAATTATCGAACTCGAACCCACAATGTATCATTTGGGCAACTGACCAAGTGGATAAGAGCAAGAAAATTATGGGTTTTTTTCAGTCGTGATGGAGACTATAGACTGATCCGATGTTGAAATTNCCCCCCCCCCCCCCCCACAAAAAAAATGGCAGGAAAAAAAAACCTGCCACACACAAAAATATAACAAAAGAAAAAGCAAAAACAAAAAGAGTTAATATCCGTTTGTTGGAGGGTGTCTCAATACACAGAGTTTTTGTTATTATAGGATCTGAAAAGAATCAGATATAAATAATTACATACAGAAATACTACTTCCATAACTCGAACGCTTGAAGTGTAAGCGTAAATCACAATGAAATAATTTTATAGTTGCTTTACAACTCACTTTACAAACATACACACAATAAATAATAAAAGCCCACCAAAATAGCAAAAGTAGATTGCTGCTTGCAAATGTGTGTGTGAGAGAGAGAGAGATAGCTGGAAATAACGTCGTCTTCTTTTCCTAGAGAAAAAGCAACCAAAAAATATAATCATCAACATTGTTTACTAACTCTTAGGGTGAATGGGTCAGACTCTGATAACCCAAAGGTTTTAGGTTCTACATTTCTCATGCCCTCTAATTGTTCGGGTTATACTGGTTAATATTCAAGTTCGAGAAAATAGTTAACGCAAACCTAACATCCTGTAACAAAAAAAAACAAAAAAATCAACATTGTTTACCATCCAACCCAGGTCTCTCTAAGAAGGTGAGACAAAATGTTATTACAATCCACCCCAGGTTGCTCTTATCAGGTGAGACTAGACGATGTAATTCATATATCACTCCGGCTGGAGCCATTTCTGCCCTAACTTGAATTCAAATTCGAGCTTGGAACCATTGTCTACCTGCAAGAGTTCTTCATTCCATCAAATTCGAGTACACTAGTGTATGCAATGCCAAGGTCGTGANTGTGTGAAAACCCCACTATACATTAGACATTTGAATTAAGCGTTGCAATTAACAATTAGTGCTCGATCTATGTACTCATTTGTCAGGTGACTAGTTTTTGATTTGTCAGTGATTTCACCCCTAGAAAAAATGCTTATTTTTTATGATTCCTCCCACGCCTATTGGCCATGAGTTGTCTTTCGAACATTCATCAGTATTTAACTTAATTATCCGGTGCAGAGAGGAATAACCAACCTATTAATCAACCAATTTTTGGTNACAAATTGTAGATTAATCAATAACAGGGACGAGACGTAAATATAAGATTATACGGTCGAAACAATTTTTTAGGGTCAGACATGAAAACATTATCTTTCATGAATATTTTAGTCTCGACTCAAATATAAAGGTGACTCAAAATAATTTGAGATTTAAAGAGAAAACTAAGGTTTTTTTTATTATTTTTACTATTAATTTTTTAAATTTTAATTTATTTTCACTTTTTTATGTGAGAGAGAGAAAAAGGATGCGCCAGTATTTTTGAGAAAGATATTTCAACTTTTGATTTTATTTTTTACCAAAACTCTAGAGAGGGAATGAATGGAGGTAAATATGAGTTGATTTTCGAATATTTTTTTTGTTTTTTAAACTTCTAATTTTTAGATTTCTAATGTTATGAATTGGATCACGGGTCCAAATTATTGCAATAAGAAAATTGGACAGATTTAATTTTTTAGGACTTTTTTTAGGGCTTGAAATTTAATGAATTTAAATTTTTTTGTAAGCTAGTAATGTATCTAAAATTACAGGACCTTCTAAAACCCAAGCTTTATTTTTCATACTATTGGACCGACCTTTCGTGGATGGCTTACCTTTAACTAGACCGGAGAGTGAATTAATTGATTTATACATAAGTTGATCCAAATGCCCCTCACCATTAAACAAAAAAAAAAAAAAGAACTAATAATGTCAAACTAAAAAAAATGTAACACTGTGAAAGCTAATGAAGATCCAAACCCACAGAACATGAACATAAATTGTCCAGATTTCTGTTTTCCTTTAAAAAGTTTCGTAGCCAATTAACAAAACTCTCATTATAACGGGGATCGAAAGAGAGAGATATTTGGTAAATAGACTGTCTCTCATTTTAAAAAATCTGAATTATTGAACTCGAACCCACAATGTATCATTTGGGCAACTGACCAAGTGGATAAGAGCAAGAANGCAAATTGTAGATTAATCAATAACAGGGACGAGACGTAAATATAAGATTATACGGTCGAAACAATTTTTTAGGGTCAGACATGAAAGAATTATCTTTCATGAATATTTTAGTCTCGACTCAAATATAAAGGCGACTCAAAATAATTTGAGATTTAAAGAGAAAACTAAGGTTTTTTTTATTATTTTTACTATTAATTTTTTAAAATTTAATTTATTTTCACTTTTTTATGTGAGAGAGAAAAAGGATGTGCCAGTATTTTTGAGAAAGATATTTTAACTTTTGATTTTATTTTTTACCAAAGCTCTAGAGAGGGAATGGATGGAGGTAAATATGAGTTGATTTTCGAATATTTTTTTTGTTTTTTTAACTTCTAATTTTTAGATTTCTAATGTTATGAATTGGATCACGGGTCCAAATTATTGCAATAAGAAAATTGAACAGATTTAATTTTTTAGGACTTTTTTTAGGGCTTGAAATTTAATGAATTTAAATTTTTTTGTAAGCTAGTAATGGATCTAAAATTACAGGACCTTCTAAAACCCAAGCTTTATTTTTCATACTATTGGACCGGCCTTTCGTGGATGGCTTACCTTTAACTAGACCGGAGAGTGAATTAATTGATTTATACATAAGTTGATCCAAACACCCCTCACCATTAAACAAAAAAAAAAAGAACTAATAATGTCAAACTAAAAAAAATGTAACACTGTGAAAGCTAATGAAGATCCAAACCCACAGAACATGAACATAAATTGTCCAGATTTCTGTTTTCCTTTAAAAAGTTTCGTAGCCAATTAACAAAACTCTCATTATAACGGGGATCGAAAGAGAGAGATATTTGGTAAATAGACTGTCTCTCATTTTAAAAAATCTGAATTATTGAACTCGAACCCACAATGTATCATTTGGGCAACTGACCAAGTGGATAAGAGCAAGAAAATTATGGGTTTTTTTCAGTCGTGATGGAGACTATAGACTGATCCGATGTTGAAATTGATTAATTTCCTTAATTTTCCAGATCATTAAAAGATATATATATATATATATATTTTTAACGTTTTCATTAAATGTTCAGTATTTTTGCAACACTGCTGTGCAGTACTATTATGATCCCGATGGGCATCAATACAACAAGTTGCATGAAGTTCTGGCAGCATGGGAAAGGAAAGGCATTGTTCTTGTCGACTACTAATAAAGAAGGTATAACTTCTACATATACTCATTTTCTTGCTCTTTAGTTTTTTTTTTTTTTTTTTGGGAATTCAAAATTTTTATTTTAACAAAAAATATAAATATCTAAATATAACTTGTTACACCCCCCTAAGGCCACAATAAGCATGCTCTTGATTATGGATGTTAGTTCGTGTCGTGTTGTCTTGTCTTTATGTTGTTATTTTAGAGTCGTGGCATTCAATCTTTGTCGTCTTTGTCGTGTTCGTGTCAATACTCCAAGCAAAAGACAAAATATTTAATGTGTTAACACTAATTCTAATCTAAATTATTTATTATGCGCATTGAGTTGATTAATTGTGTCCATTATGGAGCCGTGTTATGTTGTGTCATATCAGATTTGTATCATGCCGATGAATAAAAATTAATACCGCTACTCTTGATTAAAGATGTTCGGCATTACAAAATATCTAGTCTAATATGCAAAATCCTTGCACAACCCGAGAAAATAGGTAATTTTCTCTAGCTAAAAAAAAAAGAGAGAAGTATTATCTTGAATTTATTGCATATGGTGATTCTTCCTTTTAGNTTTTAAAGTTTTCATTAAATGTTCAGTATTTTTGCAACACTGCTGTGCAGTACTATTATGATCCCGATGGGCATCAATACAACAAGTTGCATGAAGTTCTGGCAGCATGGGAAAGGAAAGGCATTGTTCTTGTCGACTACTAATAAAGAAGGTATAACTTCTACATATACTCATTTTCTTGCTCTTTAGTTTTTTTTTTTTTTTGTTGGGAATTCAAAATTTTTATTTTAACAAAAAATATAAATATCTAAATATAACTTGTTACACCCCCCTAAGGCCACAATAAGCATGCTCTTGATTATGGATGTTAGTTCGTGTCGTGTTGTCTTGTCTTTATGTTGTTATTTTAGAGTCGTG